GTTTTCTCATTTCTGAGATAAATGATCCTTTCTGTTTCAAAATTCCTGTTCTGGGATTTTTCTTACCTTTTCCTTTCGTGGTTCCAAAAGAGCCAGTGAGGCTGTGTCGAACGTTGTTTCTAATAAACTCTAATTGTTTAGAGAGAACTACGGGAAACAACCACAAGGGGGTGTGGTGGGGAATAGACTCTTCGTGGTCCAGTGCTTAACCCAGCTTTTACACCACAGCACGCAGAGTCCTGATGGCTGACCTCTGGCAGCTCTGGGTCCTCGGATGACATTTAATTTTGCTTGAGGATGGCATCATAGCGAAAGCTCCTGCTGGAGGCAGGGTGGTGAGAGTTAGGGTTGTGGTCCCACTTCCTCCTCTGTCATAGGAGTGTGGGCTTTAATTTCTTTTTCTATTTTATTTTTCTTCTCAGATTGCATGGTGAGATGATTTTAGCATTTATAGAAAATGATGCTCCCCACTGGGCTTATATGTTAACCCCTCCTGAAGTGAATGGAGTATGCAGTAGAGGAACTTAGTTTTTTTCTTCCTCTTTTTCTAAAAAATTACTTTTCATTTTAAAAAGTTATTCACATCTAGTACATTTGGACCTCACAGCAAGCAGAGAAGTTTTAGAAATTGGTAGATATTTCTATATTTTAAAACTCCTCTGGCCCTAGTTGTGAATTTCTGAGTTGGCGTCACAGGATTTTTGGTTGTGCATCCTCTTACATGTGTTGATTGCTGCAAAACTAGCATCAGAATAGTTGTTACTCTGTTGAGTAGCTGTGCCTCTGTCACAGAAGGGAATAGTCATCCATTGTCTGTGCTGTGTTTCTCAGTGGAATCCTCATAGAACAGTGAGGCTGGGGAGTTGGGAAAATTGGGAGAATGTACTTAGGAGTAGGCTGCTCTGAGGGAGTTGCCCACCCTCCTTCTCAGCTCCAGTCCCTCCTTGTCCCAGCCGACCTTGGGAAGTAAATGCTGTTCTGGGCTCTGCCCTGTTCAGCCCTTGCTCCTGTCTGAGCTGCTGTCAGAGTGTCCTTCTCCTTGGATAACCCTGCAGCTGCCACAAGAAGACCCTGGAATCTTGGGCTGTAGGATCACCTGGCCTTGTGTTTCCGTTGTGAGAACATGTGCAAGGATAATTCACACTTTTCTCTGAAGTTGATCTGTCTGAGAGCAGACTTTCCATCTACAGGGTCTCCTTCCTCCTCCCCATCACAGCCAGTCTCCCCCTTCACTTGCATCCATCTCTGATCTTAATGTGGTACCCTGCTCTGTGTTGGAAGACCTCTGGCATGTTAAACAGACGGATGATGCAAAATACTGGTCTTAGTAAAGCTGAAAAAAGGAATGAATGTAATGACTGTGTAGCAGGTATTTATTTGCAACTCAGAGATAGCTCCTTTTCTTTACTTCTGACAAAATTAAAGGACTACCCAAAGGATGTCAGCTGATAGTGATGAATGGTGACTGAGAAAGAGTTCAAAAGAACTGAGAAACATTGCTGCAACAAATCCTCCAGTCTATCCACCTTTTAATGTGAATTTTTTTTACAGAAAAATATAATTGAAATGACACTGAAACTTGTATCACTAGCAGTGTGTGATTTTACCCATATTTATATGAGCAAAAAATCTCTTTTTATCTGGTGAAGAGATACATATCACATAAAAATTTACTTTTTTATTTTAATAATTACCAACATTGTAATATATATATGTAGGTTTGATCAGCTGTAGACTGAAAATTAATTAATTATTCAAAGCAGAAGATTTTTTTTAACATAGAGCCTTGTCATAAGAAATTTTAAAAAATGAAATTTCAATTAATATGCATATTTTTTCTAGATAGAATTATGGTGGAGTGGTTAATAAAAGAGTTTAGAACATAAAAGTATCTTGTCTCAGATAACATTCTGGAATAGAGATTATATAAAGTTTAAAGAGAGTAAGTAATGCTATACAATCTGTTAAAAAAAGAGCCTTTTTTTTTTTTTTAATAGATGATGGAGGTATCAAATCACCATGGATCATGGTATTTAGAGACACTTGTTTTATTTCTAAATATCAATATTTAAAACATAGAACTGTAACTTTCAGAATTATTTAAAGTTATGATGAGAACTTTTATGTGCCTACTTAAAATTATGCAAGATTGTGTAGATTTTCAAGAATTATCTGCTTCTAGTTCCTGAAGGATTTAGGATGCTATGGTGAATTCCAAATCTGGCTTGGAAGTGTGTATTAAAAATATGAGTTTCTGTGCTCCTTTTCAGACCTTGTTCTAGCTGTGGGGGCGACAGGGCCTTATTTTTAACACATTCCATGATTCCCAGTGATGCTGGTGCAGCCAGTTCTATAGGACCAGTGTCTGGCTCCTGTGTCCACTTGCTTCTCCTTCCAGGCCTAAAGTCCCTGCCTTGTCCTCTGGGAGGGATCCATGAAGAAGGAAGTGACAGGCTACCATGGAAGTGGGGCAGTGGCAGAGGCTCAGGCTGGGAGGAACCACAAAGCCAGAAGTCCCTGGGGTGTCAACCATGGAATGGGGACCTAGGACAAAGGCCATTCCGCCCATTCACTTTTAGGGGAGATTCACATTCTGTCTTTGAATCATCTTTGCCTAGCTCATCCAAAAATGTGCCGTTTTTTTAGTTCTCTTTAAGGACTTTCAGTTCTTTGTTGTAGTTTTCTAGATTTATTAAGCAGGGTTCATATTGGCCCAAGGTCTACCTGGGATCAGTCAAAAGACATTGATTTAAAAACTCTCTGAGTTGCAAAATTTGAGTCTATCAAAAAATCAGAAGCAGTCAGTGATTTCTAGCCATCCTTCTGGACCCTTCGATCATAAAACATTCCCTCAGGATATGAGATGTGGCTATTATTAGGCAGTGTGGAATAGCCTGACGGGTTTGACTTAATGGGCTAAATTCACTACACGTTGCTAGGGGTGCATTGTCTTTCTCTGTTCTTTCTTTTATGTGAGAAATTTGTTGCCGTTTCCTGTGTCTCAACAAGATAAATGAACTAATTTAAAATATTTTCCACGCCTCATCTGTCCACTCCACAAGCTGTCAATGGGCTTGGATTGGGAGCCTGCGTGCCAGCAGGCCGCAGCCTCAGCCAGGGGTACTGTTAGTGTGAAAAAAGAATGTCGTTTCCATAGCAGCTTGGAACGCCTTTGCAAGTGCACTTTCACATTCCTGCAGGATTAGGTAAGAAAGTCAATACTTGGTCGAGCTTTCTTAAGCCCATTTGCTTGACTTAAATGAAGTCATTACTTTTTTTCTTTCAATTGAAGAGGTAGGAGAAATATTTCAAGATTTGATGAAGGGAAAACAATTTGACATGCATTAAAAACCAAAACAGGAAGAAGAAAAATATTGGAGTTATTAAAATTTTAGATTATAAAAATTAAAATTGGAAAAAGTTACAATTTTTCTTCAAAATACTGTTTCTGATTTTACAGATTATTTAAAATATCTTGTGTGTTGAATAATTAAAAGTCATGGACTCTTCACAAGTGTATTATTTTTTACAGTCACTGGAATTCATCATATATTCCTCTGTAGCATGTTTAAAGGAAAAACCATCTGCAGAGCATCATAGCAGCTCTTGAAGGTGTTTTCATCCTCTTTTGCGTCAGGATCGAGTTCTTCACAGTATTGACTGAGTGGTATTTGTGGAGGAGGCAGAGTGAAAGAAGTGATAAGTTGGAAAGAATTTTTACTGTTTCTGAGATAGTACAGACGGGTGCCTTTAGGATTTTCTGAACTTTTTTCTGCTAAATAATACATTTTAATGAGTCTTTGGGGGAAGTCATAACTTTGCTACACTGCTTATCTCTGCTGCCCGCTCACATGACACAATACTCTGGTGAGGTATAATATTAAAATCATCTCTGGCTAAAAGTGGATTTTGGCTTTTAGCCTAACCCTGAGCAAATAACCTTTCCAGTCCAAGTTAAATGTTCCCATAAGCTCCTTAAAACCAAATTTTCCTTGTTAAAAAAAGTTACTTAATATAATTCCCAGAGGGTAGGGTATGGAAGCTATTTAAATTAGACTTAAGAAAAAAAATCTCTCCCATGTTTGCTGGCTTAGTCTTCCTTTTGCTAATATTTGACAGTTACTTCTTTGCTAGGTTGGGAGTCAGAGGTCAGAATTCTTACAGGGGAGTTGGATGGTCCATCAGATGGGTGCGTGTCCTTCGCTTGACCTGTGGCTTAAAGCAGAATCCAGCTGTGAGCCCCCTGTTGCCAGTACGTGTGCACTGAGGAATCACTACAGAAACTCTCTCAGGCCCTGTCTTTGTACTTGATTGTGACCCTGTTATTGTCTAGAATTCTAAACCTCCAGCTCCCTTGTAACACAAGGCCAGACTTTCTCTGGTTTCCCCAGTAGGTCAGCCCCAAGGTAGATGAAAATTTGATAGATGCACTTATAACCTCTTTGGAGTTTTCTGTAGGAACTTGACAAGTAGATTCTTTCTACTAAATATTTTAACACATAGCCTTTAAAATGACATTTACCTCTTCTAGGACCATTTTTGACAGTGGCATGTAGTAGTTTTATTTTTATTTTATTTGAAACATCATTTAGGGTTTTATAGAAAAAATAAAATATTTATCTCCACAGCTTGTTATCAGCAGGAAGGCTAGGCATTCTTGGATGGATGGAAGAGTTTATTGGTGGGAAGATTCAAGAAGCTATTTTGTGATAAAGGATTTCTTTGCATTTTCCCTCTAGTCAAGTAAATTGCTTTTGGGTTCTTGCTAAGAAAAAATAATCCCTCTGGTGCTGCTTTTAATTTGATCAGGTTTAAAATGTTTTCAGAAGGGTTAAGATTTCTTTGCATTAATATCTGGTGTGGTCAAATGAAAGATGGCTTTGGAAAGGGCTAGATTTTTTTTTTTTTTTGTGATGGTCTGTTCAACCTTGCCACAGGAGGTTCTGTATAGGGGACCAGTCAAAACAATATCACCATTTTCAATTGACTTTGAGATGTGTCGTGTGTCTCCTTTCCCCCAACAGATACAGGTTCCTAAGCATTTTTTTCTTTGACTCATGTTGTAAGAGTTTATGTTTTCTATGATATATATCTAGTGTGCCTGACTATCACTTCCAAGAAATAGACACGTACCACAGTATTAATCCACTGTCACAATTTCTCATCTATGGCTACTGATAACTACACTTCACCTGCAACAGAAAGAGTTAACTGTATATCCTGTTCTTGTTCATTAGGTAAAAATTTGCAAGACAAAATATAATCCTGGTAGGGCACAGAAGCATTTTTATGAGCAGGTGGGTCAAGTTGTGAAAAGACCATTATAAAGCCTAAAACCTGGGGAAAAAAGCTAACACCTCCACTGCTTGGGGACTCTGTCTTTAATCTGGTCCTCTGCTGAGTTCATGAATATTTCAAGTGAGCCTGAAGAGGTGGCTCTTCCTTCCCTGGGGACTAGCAGGTGATTCAGTGGGGACATTCATTTTGTTGCTTTCGTAGGAATGGTTTTAACCCAATGTTAGTCCAAAGTGAAGGTCAGAATTCACTTAAGAGAAATAGGGAAACCTTATGTGACATTATGCCAAACTTCATACAAGGCTAGTAATAGAATAAAATAATTTTTCCACCCCACTATTACAGATGTTGTTGAGTTTTGTTTGTTTTCCTAAAAAACTTAAAATCGTCTAAAGAAAGAGTTTTCCCTCTGGAAGAAAGCAGAAACACACACTCCCTATACTTTAAGAAGGGTCTGTGAGTCCAGATATCTGGTTTCTTGTATTTTGATGAGTGCTAGATACAGAGTGCACATGATTTTAGTGACCCTGCTTTAAAAAATGGTTGACTAAACATGGCTGTAGTAGAAAAAAAAATGAAGAAAATACTTCAAAATCCTGTATGGAAGCCCTGAATCTGGTAAGGAGGTTTCTTTCCTCCTTTCCTAAAAATAAATTTGAAAACTATACCCTGGTAATAAAGAGTTAAGCTGTGATCATCACACTTGCTGTTGAAATGGGAAGCCAGGCTCACAGCTGGGAAGCCATCGGCAGAAAAAAAAAATCATGCAGTGCTGAGGGAGGCTGAAGCAGGGGACTTGGTACAGACTAGTTTGAGAAGAGTTGTTGTTTGTCCTGACACAGGGCTCAGCCACAGGCTCAGCACGTGCCGCTACACTGTTCTGTGAAGGTTTGTTTAAAAATCACACTCTTTTTGTTCCTCAGTGGTGTAATCCCCTGATAAACCCGTGTGATCTGATTTTCTGCCTCACTTGTATCATATGTTCGAGCTCTTGTGCCTTTTGCTCTGGCAGCTGGAAAGGAACTGATGTATTATCACATTCTGCTATTTTTTTATTTCTTTTTTCAATCATCTTTAAAGGCAATACTAACAATGGCCATGTTTGCAAGGCCTTTTATGTGTAGAGAGCACTTCTGTGTCCTTTAGCCATGTAATTCCCATATGATCCTGCGAAGTATGGCTGTAGAAACTGAGGCCGAGGGGCACACAGGACCTCGCCCAGGTACCCTGCTCCCGAGTGGGAGAGCTGGAAGTCCGCTCGCAGTCTCCATCAGTGCCTCTCCTCTGGCAGGGAGCAGGGAGCAGTAAGGATGTGAGTTAGCCTGAAACTTGCTGAGATACCAGCAAGCATTAGGGGTTCCAAATCTTACCTTTAGTATGAAAAAACCCAGAGGTCTTTTTTCTGTTTCTTCATTTTGCATTGATTTGACCAGGGTCATTTGAAGGGGGTTCCAGAAAAATAATTTTTGTTTGTTTGTTTATAATTTACTATCGAAAAGTACCACTTTGGCCCCTAATTTGTAGCCCTGACGTTTATATACACTTAGACAAAAACAGTTTATCTTTTACTAGCTAAGGCTTGACGGGCTCCCGTTGCGTGGAGCGGCTGAGGGGCTCTCGGTCATACGCAGGCAGATGTGTGAGGAAGGTGAGCTGTGAATTTCAGGATGAACTGGCTTATCCTCATCTTTTAAAAAGTAACATGAATGATAGAAGTCAACCACACTTCAGTCTGACGATTGTCGCTGGGCCATAAGAGAAGCAGTGCATGTCTCCTAGAGTTCTTTCATACATCTGCTTTGGTAATTCACTGTTCTGTTTGAAAGGATCTCACAGACATGGAATTTTTAAATATTGAGGAAATTCCATTAAGAAATAGAGGGAGAATGAAAAGCTCATTATAAAAGCCATGCCAAGAATCAGTACGATGTAACCCAGCATCTGAAAAATGTTGACTTTTCATTGAGATGAACTTTTCAGAGAAGTTAATGTTCTCACCCTTTGGCTGAAGAGTTAATTCCCAGGCCAGTCTAATATCTGTTTAAAGCTGTCCAGCCAGTTTTTCAGGACAGAAAAACATTGTAGATAGTGTAGATGGAGTATTGTTATTTTCATGAAGAAAACCTGCATGTTTGGAATTATTTTACTCCTCTGTTGCAGCAACACTTTTCTATGACCTGTTCATGACTAGTTGCTAAGACAGGGAAACCGAGGGTATGACATAGTGTCTTTGGTTCCTTGTGGGAGCAAGTCTGAAGGTTTCTGATTTTGAAAAGTTAGGAGAGAGAGAGAGAAAAAAAAAAGAGCTCTAAAGATATCATGGTTTATGCCCTATCCTTTTTCATTGTTTTGTAAAAACAGTAAATAGCCTTAAAAAAGAAAAACCTAGGTTACACTAATTAATCATGCTGTTCTTCATTTTTGCTTATTCAATGAAA